CAGATTAGTATTTAGATGGTAGAATAAGCAGATATGGGTGACTTGCTTTGAAAGGAAATAGCTACACATGGGCAAGTGGGCAAGTGATTATAAGCCTCAACTAAACCTTTTGGTGATGCAGAGTATCTGAAGAATTATCTACCTGATTAACTCTGGCATTCCCTGCAGGTGGGAAGTCCATTAGAGAAATAACTAATGAAGCTCAACTCCATTCCTTATTCCATTTCTTGCCAAATGTGATTGCTGCACAATTCTATGTTTTCTTGGCAGTTTTGGGGGGTATTCCTCAAATCAATGCTCTTCTAAAGGGTTTAAATTGTCATTGTTAATGGTCCTCATTTATTTGTCGGATTATTATTATTTTTTAATTATTCTTTAAGTTCTGGGATACATGTGCAAAACGTGCAGGTTTATTACATAGGTATACACGTGTCATAGTGGTTTGTTGCACCCATCAACCCGTCATCTACATTAGATATTTCTCCTAATGCTATCCCTCCCCAACCCCTCATCCCTCGACAGGCCCCAGTGTGTGATGTTCCCTTCCCTGTGTTCATGTGTTCTCATTGTTCATCTCTCACTTATGAGTGAGAACATGTGGTGTTTGGTTTTCTGTTCCTCTGTTAGTTTGCTGAGAATGATGTTTTCCAGCTTCATCCATGTCCCTGCAAAGGACATGAACTCATCCTTTTTATGGCTGCATAGTATTCCATAGTGTATATGTGCCACATTTTCTTTATCCAATCTATCGTTGATGGGCATTTGGGTTGGTTTCAAGTCTTTACTATTGTGAACAGTGCTGCAATAAACATACATGTGCATGTGTCTTTGTAGTAGAATGATTTACAATCTTTTAGGTATATACCCAGTAATGGGATCGCTGGGTCAAATGGTACTTCTGGTTCTAGATCCTTGAGGAATCGCCACACTGTTTTCCACAATGGTTGAACTAATTTACACTCCCACCAATAGTGTAAAAGCATTCCTATTTCTCCCCATCCTCTCCAGCATCTGTTGTTTCCTGACTTTTTAATGATCACCATTCTAACTGGGGTGAGATGTTATCTTATTGTGGTTTTGATTTGCATTTCTCTAATGACCAGTGATGATGAGCTTTTTTTCATGTTTGTTGGCTGCGTAAATGTCTTCTTTTGAGAAGTGTCTGTTTATATCCTTTGCCCACTTTTTGATGGGGTTATTTGCTTTTTTTCTTGTAAATTTGTTTAAGTTCATTGTGGATTCTGGATATTAGCCCTTTGTCAGATGGCTAGATCACAAAAATTTTCCCCCATTCTGTAGGTTGTCTGTTCAGTCATGATTGTTTGTTTCGCTGTGCAGAAGCTCTTTAGTTTAATTAGATCCCATTTTTCAATTTCGGCTTTTCTTGACATTGCTTTCGGTGTTTTAGTCATGAAGTCTTTGACAATGCCTATGTCCTAAATTGTATTGCCTAAGTTTTCTTGTAGGGTTTTTAAGGTTTTAGGTCTTATGTTTGTCTTTAATCCATCTTGAGTTAATTTTTGTATAAGGTGTAAAGAAGTGATCCAGTTTCCGCTTCCTGCATATGGCTAGCCAGTGTTCCCAACACCATTTATTAAATAGAGAGTCCTTTCCCCATTGTTTGTTGTGTCAGGTTTGTCAAAGATTAGGTGGTTATAGATGTGTGGCATTATTTGTGAGGCCTCTGTTCTGTTCCATTGGTCTATATATCTATTTTGGATTGTATATTTAGAAAACCCCATCATCTCAGCCCAAAATCTCCTTAAGCTGATTAGCAACTTCAACAAAGTCTCAGGATAAAAAATCAATGTGCAAAAACCACAGGCATTCCTATACACCACAATTCACAATTGCTACAAAGAGAATAAAGTACCTAGGAATACAACTTACAAGGGATGTGAAGGACCTCTTCAAGGAGAACTACAAACCACTGCTCAAGGAAATAAGAGAGGACACAAGCAAATGGAAAAACATTCCATGCTCATGGATAGGAGGAAAGGTGAAAAAGGCCATACTGCCCAAACTAATTTATAGATTCAGTGCTATCCCCATCAAGCTTCCATTGACTTTCTTTGCAAAATTAAAAAAAAAAAAAAAAAAAAAAACAAAAAAAAACTACTTTAAATTTCATATGGAACCAAAAAAGAGCCCATATAAGCAAGACAATCCTAAGCAAAAAGAACAAAGCTGGAGGCATCACACTACCTGACTTCAAACTATACTACAAGGCTACAGTAACCAAAACAGCATGGCATTGTCAGATTATTTAACTAGGGTATTGTTAAATAATAGAAGGTCTCTAATGAGGTTAAAAAAAATCCAAGACACCTGATACTTAATCACCCAAAAGTGCAACTTTTGGTCCAACAGCACATTATCATTATACCTTGTGAAGAATTTCTGATATTTCTCCTGTCTCTTCATTGCTAGAGTAGACTGGCTTATTTTCAGCAATTATCAGACTTGATGAGCAATGCCATTTACAAACAGTGGTGACTTAGGACTAAGAGGGATATATAAAACAAAACATGATCCCTTTGAGTTTTACTTTTCACAGAAAAATAGTATTTGTTATTTGTTCCATATCCATGACAGAGTAGTTGGGAATATTTAACAAAATCACCTGGAAAAAATATTCCCCAGTAATTTTGGTGAAAATAAACCGAAAAGTATTTTCTGTCATTTGCTGTTTATTCTATAAAGTTTCCGGTTTATAAGAAATCGTGCTAATGTGTAGTGAAGTCCACAATCGCCAACTGAAATGCCTTCTTCTTGGAAAGTCTTTTTTTGACCCTCAAGATGGTGAACCAAACCTTCCTTTTTCACTCATAGCCATCTGCATTTGTCTGTAGAGTGAAGTTCATTTGGGGCACTACTGACACATGGGGCTGGATGACTATTTGTTGTGGAGAGCTGTCTTGTAGACTCTAGGGCGTTTAGCAGCACTGCTGTCTTTTACCTACTCAGTGCTGGTAACATTCCTCAGGTCTGACAATCAAACATGTCTCCAGACACTACTAAATGTACCCAGGTAGGGCCATATAGTCCATGGTTGAGATCCGCTACTATTGAGTTATGTAACACTTCCCTCACTGCAGTGAAGTTTGCTTTTATGTCTGCATATTTTAGTAGATTCAAAATAATGTATTTGGCACTGAGCTCTATGCATAGTGGTTACTCTTTTGGTTTTCTGGATTTTTCTGGATGACATATACTATACGGTAAGCACTGTATCCTATTCATCTCCTCCCTACATTTCAGGAACTCAGAGAAGGGTTGTCTTATAGAAGTCCCAAAAATATTTTTTCAGGGATTAAATAATGAATGGTTCTTTTAAAGGAAGCAAGTAAGTAATGATGTGTGCAGGCTGAATCAGTGAATGAATGGATAGAAGGAAGAATTGAGAAAGGCAGCTTCACATTCACACGGCCAGACATCTTCACATAGGTGCATCCCTAATCTTCCGCAGGAGTTACTATTACTACAAACATCTCAGCTGCCAACTTGCTGCCTGAAACTCTAAACAAGATTCCAGGTGAGGAAGTGTCTTTGGCAGGGCCCCAGCAGACCAGCAGCAGTTCACAGGAAGAAATCTGCACAGAACTAAGCAAAAATCAGATTCATCCTAGCTGAACTAATCAGTGACTAGCAAAAAATTTAAAAAAATCATTGGAAGTCGCTGTGGTAGGGCAGGGCAGGGATAGAAATGGCTAAAACCAGTCAATTTAATACCAGAAAGTTTCACAGAGAAAGTTATCAGAACTAGAACAGGTATTCACAGAGCCATTGCTTCTAGAAAGTCCTACAACAGGCCTCTCTGTTGAATCAGGGACAGAACATTTTAGCTCTAAAGTATATCTTGAGAGAGATGAATATATGTGACACCACAGAGGTTTTCCTTTTTATTCCTCTCTTGTAGGGAAATCTGACACTTCTGAATGGAGTGAGATTTGGCTGGGAGCTTTATAAACCTCAAGAGATTTGATGGTCTGCATTGAAGAGAAGGGGTCAGAATCTCCGGAAGAGGATCTTCTACCACTATCTACTCAACCTCAAGTTGATTTGGGATTGAGACAGTTTCTTTCACATCTATGCTCAAGAAAGTTTTAATGCTGAGAATTCCTTTTCCTCTACTAAGCTAAATCATACTCAAAATTTAAGATATCTCCTAAACCAAATACTCTAAGACTCATCTCCTGTACTCATAGCACCTCTAACATCTACCAAATTTCTTTCATTTAATGTTTTTATTTGTCTTTATATTTGTTGCTTTCATTAGATTTCAATTCCTGAAGACAGAAATAGAGTCATCATTATCATTATCATCACCATCATCAACAAATAGGAGGAGGAGGAGAAAAAATAAACTCCATGATTTGATAAGCATAATCATAACCCAGTCAATGTGCTTAGCATTTTAAAAAATCACATTTAAGTATCAGCACAAATATATGAATTAGATCCAGCTAGGTATTCTTTTTCCTTTGCTACCTCCTATGGGGTCTGGCATGGTGGTGATCATTGTATAGTCTTGCATTGAACTTATATAAAAGGAAATGGAAGAAGAGGGTTCAAGAACAGACTGAGGACAATTGATTGGGTCCCAGTGTTTTCTAATCAACATTGGACCTGAATTTGGGAATTTACTTAATTATCTGAGTCTTTATTTTCCACATTAAAGATTACTGATCATGAAATTTATCAAACAGAATGGCTGAGAGAATGAGGTATGTAGTGAGCATTTAGTTTTATCTATAATTAATACTTTTTTTTTTTTGGTGCGATCTCAGATCACTGTAACCTCCGCCTCCCAAGTTCAAGAGATTCTCGTGCCTCAGTCTCCCAAGTAGCTGGGACTACAGGTGCACACCACCACACCGGGATAATTTTTCTAATATGCACTTTTGAATGGTAAATACCATAAATAAAAAGAAATAAAGCTAGAGGTTACCCAGATCAGAACCAGATAATAACCTCCCTGACTATAATCTCAGACTCTATTGATTATGAAGCTAAATTTATTGTCTCTACTCCAAAAACAACAACAACAACAAAACATCTTAAATTATAGTTTTTAAGTCTGGTTATTCCAAAAACATTCTTAAGTTCTTCTGCCCATTTTCCCAAATCCATAGCTTGCACTTCGTATTCAACTTATTTGGAAGGATAGAATGACACTAAGTATTATTAGCTAACACTCAGGGAATTTATGAGATATCCTCACCTTGACAGTCTTGTCATCTCAGGCCAACTCAGAGGCAGTAACTCATACTTCTTTACGTGGCCAAGATGAAGAATCACATGATTATTTTAAGTAAATAGTCACGAGCACTATTTATTTTAAAATGCCATATCTTCTTTACTAAACCTCTGAGAATAAAATTTTAAGCAACTTGTTTTGATGATTTAGGTAATTGCAATTCTATTTCCTTAATACTTTAACATCTAATGAGATACTTTTGATGGGTTTTAATAGCTCCAAGTCCTAGATACATTTTAATCTTGCCAACCAAGTACTAGATAATATTGTTACCATCAATAAAACACCATCACATATTTTATTTTGTTTTCCAGCAGTATTGCTTCATGCAGTTCTATGAGCATTTGTTATTTTTCCCATGAATTATTTTCCAAAACAATTTGAGGACATTTTCAGAATACTTTATAGTAATAAAAGAATAAGCTCCATTAGCATAATATGTGTGTATAACTAAAAGATGCTCTGCTTCTACACACTGGTTCATCTGCTTTAAGTAAGTAGATTTTTGACGTTGCCAAGGAAAATGTTTCGGTTTACTATGGTTTGGATATGATTTGTTTTCCTCCACTAAAACTCATATAGAAATGTGATCCCCATGCAGTGGTATTGAGAGGTGGGACCTACTAGGAGGTAACTGGTTAGGGGTAGAGATCCCTATGAATGACTTGCTGCTGATATAGTAGTAATGAGTCAGTTCTCACTCTTGTGAAGCTGGATTATTCTTGGGGAAATGGATTAGTTTCCACCAGAATGAGTTTTTCATAAAGCCAGGACACCACTCATGTTTTCTCATTTCACATGAGTCCACTTCCTTTTTGTCCTTCTCCACCATTCTCCACTTGTTGTAATACAGGAAGAAAGCCCTTGCTGGAAGCCAGGGCTATGTCTTTGAACTTCTCAGCCTGAAGATCCATGAGCTACATGAAGCTCTTCTTTGTTTGTTTAAATTACCCAATCTCAGGTATTTTTATAGCAACACAAAGTGTACCAAGATAGTGTTTTACAAAAATACCCCAGTTCACATATACTACTCTTAGTATATTCTTTTTCACCCTGAAATTATGTAGGAATTAATTTAAAAATTAGTAAACACTTTTACTTCCTTATATAATAAACAGATAATAAAGCCACTCGTAAGTTTATTAATGTAAATTCTACCAGGATAAAACTATAATTTTTTAACAATTGTAATTTTCTTTAGTATAGTGGTGCCTCATAAAGCCAATGTAAAAATGGAATGAAATAGCACATTTAAATTGCTTAAAATTGGTGCATATTAAGGGCTAAATAAAATTAGTGATTTCTATTATGGTGGATATCAATTCATTAATTCAAAATATATGTTGAGTGTTTGCAATATGCAAACATTGTTACTGAAGCTGAAAACATGGTAGCCAATAAGCCAAGCAAGATACTTTATCTGTAGAGTTTCAATTATCTAAAGAATAATATTCACAAGCACTAATAAATAGTATAATGACAAATGTAATAAATAAATAAAAGGTGATATGTTAGGGGAAGATGGGCGAGGTGGTGATTTATATTGGATTGTAAGAAAAAGCCTGGCTGAAAGATAATATTTGGGTACATGTGGGAATATTCAGACTTCCTCCTGGAGAAGATCTGGAGGCTGATCATTCCAGAAGAAGAATACAGCAAGAAAAAATTTCCAAGATAAGAATTCACTTTTATTTTCCCAAAATTAATAGGAATGTCATTGTGCTTTGAAGAATAAACAAAGAAAAGAATGATAAAAGATTTGGAAAAATGAGCAGGGGTCATGCCAAGTAGGAATGTGTAGGATATGATAGGTGTCATTGGTATGTTATAAAATGTATTATGAAAAGATTTTGATGATATTTCAAAAGGGTAATAATGCTACCTAATGATAATATGAAAAGATGACTCTGGCTGCTGTATGGAGACAATATAGGCTTGGAGTTGAGAGAAGAGTGAAAAAGAGGCTAGTTGGGGACAATTATACTACATTTAGCTTTAGGAAGGTGCTGAAGGAGTCATGGATTGAGGTGGTTTTCCGAGTTTTGAGTTGAACAATTTCAATACGGTGGCATTACTTAATGACATAGGGATGCCAGAGAACAAACAGATTTGGAATGATGTGGTAGAGAATAAAAGGTTTGCTTTCGGCTCTGTTAATGCTCAAGTAGAATTTTATGAAATCTAAGTAGAGATTTCAAGCAGGAATTTGAATTAATATATCTGGAGATTAGCCAAGATATTGCAGATGGAGATGTAAATATTGAGTCATCTTCATTGAGTTGGAAGGCAAGGGGCTGACAGAGCTATTAATGACAATGAATTTGATTCATTGTGATAATTTTAAAAATCATGGCTACCTTGAAGGCCAACATTTATATCATCTCTTGCAGTTCCTATGCACAAAACAGTTTTGTTTGGTAGATCCCAGGTTATTACTAGATGAATTTCACTAGCTGGTGATTTATTCCTGGCCACCATCTAACAAGACATTTTAACCAAATTCCCATTTATCCAAAGGCTTCCAAATGATTTTGGAAAAAAAAACCCTAAATCCTCAAAATATTGTTTTTGTTAAAATAGGCCTTCATATACAATTTGCACTTAAGTTGTTATGTGTGTCACATTATCAACATGAATACTTATCATTCATTCAATACACACACACACACACACCTGCCTCCCTTGCCCCCATCCACACACACACACATACCAGTAAAGACGGCTTTGCCTTAAGACCAGGAAAATCCTCCCTCTTACATAGCAGTCTTTTCCACAGACTCTAGAAGGTCTGATTCACTTGGTTTTAGAGGAGTATTAATTAATATAATGACCTTGAACCAATCTTCAGAGATTGTTATTCAGTATTCAACATATTCCTAATAGTAGTAGTGTTTCAGAATCACACTTTGAGAAATACTGTATTATTCTTACAGGAAGACCATCACACTGAAATTTTTCTTATGATATATTTCCAAAAATTAGGTTATTAAGACATTTTTACCTATTGGAAGGTTCTTAGACCTTACCAACTATAGGAGCCTATGCAACACTGTCCAGATCTTGCTTTAAGACAGAAAAGGACTTATTCCTCAGCTGCTGGGAATGCTGCCAACAGACAGCCCTCAGTTGTCAAGCATCTTGGAGAATTGCCTCAGATAAAGACAGCTGTCTTGCCAAGATCACATCCTCTCCCCTGGAGGCAGCCTACCTCAAATAACTTTTTCACGGAGACGCATAAAAAGCACCTCATCCCAACTGAGGACAATCTTGAAGACAGCACTCACTAAGAGAAAAAAAAGTCTTGCCCACACATCTCCATCTCAGTATTTATTTCTGGGAACCTAAATTAAGCAGAAGCTATCTGAAAAACAGCAATTATTTATACTTGTTGAAAACAGTTCATTGACTCAAATATCTAAAGAAGAGAAAGAGTGTGAGCTCCAACTATGTCCTACAAAAAGTAGCATGTTTAAGATGCAGGAGTTAAATTCTACATGCCACAACAACATGAGTTCTAGAAGTGAGAGAGACCTCTGAGAGCTCAAGAACTTGTTACGCAGCAGAACTGAGTAAGAGCACGAACCTATTCAGGAGATATTGAGGGGGTCTGGAACTTTGTGATGTAATGCTGGAGATGTAAGTTTAGTTTGTACTAGTTTTCTTCGTTCCACTTCATGCTTATGTGGACTGGATAGATTTAAGAGTATAGGATCAGGCAGACAAAGGCGGCAGCTATAAAATTCACCAGAGTTCATAATCTATAAAAATGTTAGAGTAGAGTTAGGGAGTGATTACTTAAATCAGTATCAAGGACATAATTGCAATATATGTACACCTCTACCCCTCTATTCTGATGCTTGACATTCCATTATTTGAAATTTACTTTAAGACACAAAGAAGATACATAAGTTTGAAGTCATTAGAAATCAATTGTAAGACAAAGTGAACACATTACATTTTTAGGCACAGTAGGGGATACTGCAATATAACGTATTTCCTGATCATGGTGAAGATTGTTCCAAATCTTAGAGTGTACCCAAATGTTTATGCTTCAAAAAGGTTCCATCCACATGTGGCTTCCCTCCTCCACACCTTCTTCAGCCATCATGGAGAACGGATGCAATTCCCTTCATTCAACTTCAGGGTTTGCTGTTTAATAAAAAAAAATGTAGGAAAGAGAGCTAAATAACTGTAATAGGTGGCAGGAAGTAACAGACATTGCAAAGGAGCAGAAAACTCAGTGAGGATTGATTCTTTTACCTGGGATAAATCAATGCAAACATCATGAAGGAGTAGCTTTTGACCCAGTCTTTGATGGATAGGAAATAATTGTACATGCAAAACTATACCAAGATATTTATCTGCTTTCTAGAGAAGATGCAATAAGCTATAATTTTACATACTTTATTGGTATGCCCAATATTTCAGGTATATTATTTGATGCTATGAATGCTTCTAAGAACTAATTTCATAAGATTCCTGTCCCCATAGTGCTTATATCCTGGTGCAATGTAATACCAAACAAAATTAGTAAGCAATAATCAATAATTTAAAAACAATATGGATATAAATTATGTCCTTTATTTCCACAGATTTTTGGCATTAAAATGGATTATTTTAGTGTCATTCAGCATTCCAATGTTTGGCATATGTATAATTAGATTTCTTGGGAATAATAAGACAGATTTGTATTCAGTGCTCTCTGCTCTACTCTGTGGAAGAGAAGGTGGAAAGCAGAATTGGGCAGAGGTAGAAGATGGGCTGCACTGCAGTCTCAGCGAAAGATTTAGCCACCAACACAAGAAGGTCTGGACTTTGGATGTCATTTCTGAGTTGTCCCATCCATGTAGGAGCCTAGGGGCTAGGCTTTGGAAGCCTATATTGGTGCATCGTTGGATTTGTACTGCTACCTAGCATTGAGCAAGGAAATTGATTTTGGCTTTGGGAAATTCTGGAAAGCAACCTAGCCTTGAACTGTCTCAGCAGGCAACACTTCCAGCAGCTGGCGGAATGAATGCCCTAGTTTTGAAGGGGATGATAGGGTAACACACCACAGCATCCACTACAGTTTCCAATGCTATTGTTTTTCCTGTTGCCAAAAGTCTAGTTTCTGATTGTGCTGAAGATGTTTCCTTAAAGTATAACTCTAGAAGAAGAGTTCTCTTCTTCATCATTTCCTCATCAGGGAAATTTATGGCAGTTATGGAATGAATTGCGTTGCCCCAAAATTCACATGTCAAAACTCTAATTGCCAATGTGACTGTATATTTGCAGGTTGAGGTCAGAGGACAGGTTAGTTAAGACCCTAATCTAATATGTCTGGTATCCTTATAGGGAGAGGAAACGGTATCAGGGAAGCACAGAGAAAAGGCTATGTGGGGACACTGCAAGAAGGTGGCCGTCTGCAAGCCAGGGGAGTGAGGCCTCAGGAAAAACCAAACCTGCCAACACTTTGATCTTGGACTTCCAGCCTCCAGAAATGTGAGAAAATAAATTTCTGTTGTTTAGGCCATTCAGTGTGTGGCGTTTGCTTATGGTAGCCCTAGCAAACTAAGGTAGTAAGATATTGAAGTAAATGTTTTGATGTATCAGAAAGGTGGGCATTCAATCATCAATACAAGGTTTATAGTTCCATGTTTGGATTTCTGACATCATATCTGAAAAAACTAGGGCTACAAAACCTTCTTCAGGTACTTTGTGATCTATTTAATATATATATTTATATATTAATATACATAATATACATTTATATAATATATTAATATATATAATAAATGTATATATTTGATTTATTATATCAATAATACAGGTACATTCTGGTTCATTTAATATCAATAATACGGTACATTCTGGTTCATTTAAAATATTTATATTTTTTTATATATATATATATATATATATATATATATATATATATTTGAGGCAGGGTCTTGCTGTTCTGCTCAGGCTAGAGTTCAGTGGCTATTCACAGGCATGATCATAGCACACTGCAGCTTCAAACTCCTGGGCTGAAGCCTCTTCCCAAATAGCTGGAACCATAAGTGCACACCATGGTGCCTGGCTGAAAGTCTTTATGTAATGAAGATTTAAAAGGTTTGATTCTAAAATAAAACATGATGTGGTTTATGTAATTATTATATCTGAATTAATGTTTCTACTTCTACACAACCAAAATATATACTTTTTCATTAACATGTATTATCAAAGTATATGTGTGTTTATAATTTATATTCATATATAAATATGTATATATAACACATTTATACATGCATACCTAGATATGGCATTGTAATTTAACTCAGAGTAAAATTAATGCTAATTTTTATTCAATATGCATTTTTCAAAACATATTATGTCTACTGATAATACAAATTTGAATGAAGTATAAAGCACCAGGCCCAGATATTTATGATCTAGCTGAAGAAAGAGAAGTCTTACATTTCCAACAGTGAAAATGCTGGAGTCCTCCTATGCGATCTCTCCGCAACTAGTTTTGGTTGCTCTGAGACTACCTTCTGCCCAGAAGCCAGACAATTCTTCCAAAATGCTAATCAGTGCACCTTCGTTTCTTGCTTAAGCCTAGTCCTATTGCCTTCAGTGGAATGGCCAACAGCAGTGTACCAAGACTGTTCTGAGCCATCTCATGCTTATGTCTCAAGCCCCATCTTGTACATCTTGATAGCTCAACTCTGTATCCCTGCTGAAATACTTGTGATTCTTTGTTGCTGTTGTTGTTGTTGTTGTTGAGAGAGAGAGTCTTGCTCTGTCTCCCAGGCTGGAGTGCAATGGCACGATCTCAGCTCACTGCAACCTCCACCTCCTGGGATCGAGCCATTCTCCTGTCTCAGACTCCCAAGTAGCTGGGACTACAGGCGCCTGCCACCACGCCCAGCTAATTTTTGTATTTTTAGTAGAGACAGGGTTTCACCATGTTGGCCAGGCTGGTCTCAAACTTCTGACCTCAAGATCCGCCTGCCTTGACCTCCTAAAGTGCTGGAATTACAGGCATGAGCCACGGCGCCCAGCCTACTTGTGATTCTTACACAAAAATATGTTGTTTCATTTATTTGTGCCTAGGTAGAACTGTTCCCTCTCACCTCCCATTGGGTAAACTCTTACTCTGATCTGTTCTATGTAGGAATGGCCACACAACCATTATAAAAGTGATTCTGTTCTTAGAGCCCCTATTATTACACTCTGTTGTCTCACTTACCCCTCACCCCTCCTGCAAGGCTCCTGTTTGCTTGTCTCTTTCCTCCAGAGTCTGCTGGCACCAGAGAAACCACGAGGAGGCCTTAATCTTCCCATCCTCAAGGGCTTCCAGGCACTTTGCACACAGTAGGTTCACGATGCAGGCTCTTTGATGTAAACCAAAGGAGGAATAGTAAGACACATATGTATTTTATTGGGGAAAACAAAACAAAACAAAACAAAAACAATGTTTTGAGGGATAGTCCATTCCTACTATTTTCAAAACATAACTACTAAATTCAAAATGAATAATTTTTTTGTGCTTTAAAAAAGGATATTCTCTTCCTTCAGATGTTCACATTGAACACTATACAGAGACTCAGGGAAGATTTAAGCAGTTTCATAGTCACTAGGGGTCACTCTTATAATTTTGAATCTTGCAAACCTGTGTAGGTTATTTTCCTTACAAAGATTTAATTTCAACGCTCCCCTGGCCCTGACTCATACATAGAAAGATTCCAGTAATGATACCTGATGGGCGTCTCTGCCACATAAATTACCTAAAAGCTATGTTTACTTTTTTGGTTGTTAACTATCATCAGAATGGTGGTGTTGCATGTGTTTAAGAGAAGCAGCAAGATAAAGTGAAAAGCTGATAGTCAAAGGATTTATTAATGAAAATCTTAATATTTCACCAATTATGTTCTCACTAGAAAATTTCACCTTGGTGTTTTTATGTCAATTGTTACAGACTTTTTAAAAGGTTACGGAGAGCCTTGCTCTTGTAATGTGTGGGTGGGCTTCCCATGGATGCATTGCTAAATTACCTGCGGAAATGCAGAAACACTTGGCTTTTCAAACCACCAAGTGTCATCTCAGCAGGATTCTTAATCACAAATATGCTGAAAGAAAACCAACAGACATTTGCAAATGACAGGGGAGCAGCAAAAAGAGAAACAAATCTCTTTTTAACTGTTCTGTGATCATCTTTATTCTTGTACCCACTCCCAATCCTTCCAACCAATTAGTACATGGCAATCAATCATGGCTCTTCAGGCAGGCACCAGTTCAGGTATGTGGTGTTTGATTCACATCTCCCAGGAGCAAGAATTAAGGAGTTAGGAAAAGACAGGACAGGCAGGAAGCTGGGTAGAATAGATAGAAGGCTCAGGACAGGGCAACTTACCCCTTTACCTGGCATCTGAAGCCAGATGACCAGGAGCCTGGGGCATGTTCTCAGTAGAAATAGTTTTGGATGAAGATGGAAAAATTTACCCTTAAAAAATAAGTTTGAGGATATAGGAAGATTGAGAAAAATGACCACAGGCTTTTAAGACAGACTATCAGGTTGGAACTCTATGTCAGCTCCTCAAAAGCAGTATAGCTAAGAGAAATTTGTAGGTTTCAATTTTTCCACTGTTATAATGGGAGCATGATAAGGACAAAACACACACACACGTATTCACTTATGTATACATATGTACACAAGTATATCCTTATGTGTGTATGTGCGTGTATGTGTGTGCGTGTGTGTGTGTGCGTGTGTGTATGTGTGGGTGTGTGTGTCTCCAAGTCTAATTTCTTGCCAAAAATGTTGATGATCAAAAAGGCTTCCTTTCCTTTTCTGCTCTCTGAGGAAAGCGTATCTCTCTAATAAAAAGTCAGCAAATATTGACCTAATATACAAATGGGGGACAAGGTAGGATATTTGAAATTGGATCTATTCCAGAGTGTTTAGTTGGCGTAATACTATGGAAAAGCCTGCTTTCCATTCATTCAATCTCTTTGAGAGGCATCATAAAGCATTTATTGATTTTTAAAAAGAGAAATAAGAAGAAAAATGTTCCAATTGAATATGAAGTCAGGCCATCCAATTTCAGTTATAGACTTGAGCAATGGGTCTGCCAGGCCCTCTAGGTGGGTTCAGCTTTACTGAACATAAAAAACAAAAAGAGAAATTTACAAGTTGGAAATTCCTCAATTCAAGGATAGGGGAAAACCTAAAGCTCTTAAGCCAGCCTGCAGAAGAGATGACTATTGCATGCCCTAATACTGGTCTCTGCTGACTCTGAGTACCTCATGCTAGGGTTAACTTTATATCCAGCCACATGTTTCCCATAGCCTCTAACTACAGATGGTAGGAGGAACATTGCAATGAAAGCCACAAAGCACAGATAGGGCTATTTAAAGATTTTAGTGGCCAATATAGAGAGTGAAACTCCATGAGCAGCTTCAGAGGGACATGCAAGGAAGTGTGCTTATTGTACCTCCAAGGCGTTTGCTTAAGAAGCTTTTAAAAACACTATTGCTTTTAATCTTTATGTTCCAAAAAGAAAAACATTCTATCTGGAAAGTCCATCTCTTGTGTATCTTTCTACAATCTTAACGATTTTGGACAAGCAATGGTGCCGTTTTTGAAATGGAAATTACAATGCTTCTGTGGGTAGCGAGGCATAGAACTCTGTGGTGGAGAACATGACTTTGCATGTACAGAGGTACGATATTGTCTACATTATTTAACCTCTAAGATAACTTTACTATTGTCTAAAATTGGATAATAGCACCTCCTTCTCAGATGTTTCATGGAGATTGAAAACAAACTGAAGGCTGGGCACAGTGTTTCATGCCTGGAATTCAAGCACTTTGGGAGGCTGAGGCGGGCAGATCCCGAGGTCAGGAGATCGAAGCCATCCTGGCCAACATGGTGAAACCCCATCTCTACTAAAATACAAAAAAATTAGCTGGGCATGGTGATGTGCACCTGTAGTCTCAGCTACTTGGGAGGCTGAGGCAGGGGAATTGCTTGAACCCAGGAGGTGGAGATTGCAGTGAGCCAGGATGGCACTCCAGCCTGGCAACAGAGTGAGATTCCATATCAAAAAAAAAAAAAAAAGATAATGCACTTAGATATTAGTACAATGTCTAACATATTGCAAGCACTAAATAAATAGCAGCTACTATTATTAATAGTATAACAATTATCAATATTGCAAAATAAACAATAATTTTTTCTACTCTTGTTAGTTTGTTTCATGAGGAATTGCAGAGCTTTATCTATCTACTCCACTTGCAATTCTAGTAGCAGCCATTGTCAGCAGGGTAAGGGTCGTACCATGCCTGGCCTCGCTTTCCTTTGTACTATTTGAAAGAATTTGCAGAAAAAAAAAAAAAGAGTTGTAAATAAATTAATTTAAGTTTAGTCCACAAAGATGATATTAACATGGGGCTGCCCTGCATTTCAACATAGCTCTTATCTCTAGAAACAGAAGAACAGACAGGATGATCTGTAAGATTCTTTAGAATCTAGAGGTCTTAACTTCTTAGCCATTTGAATTTCCTCAAATGATGCGTATTCTGCATGATGCTCTTGGCTGAGTGGATGGAGTGTCTCTCATTGGTGCCAAAAAAGGAATTACTTCTCCATAAAGTGAGAGCAAAAGCACAAACAGAGCAATTTCCTTATTCCTAATTTTTACTCTTGAAATGATGCAAAACTGACCTCATGGACAGAGTTGAATATTTACCATTTGAAAAGATTTTGAAATAACCTATAATTCCCTTCAAATATCCGTATCATATCTCAGTGTCTAGTTTGTTTTTTATCTAATGATATATCTTTACATATCTACATATCGCCTAATAACCCTGGTTGAAATACAATTTCCTCAAAGAGAAGACAAGTATTATATTTTTTGTTAAAAACATCTTAAAAGCAGCTATCATCACAGTATCTAGGGGCAAAACCCCATCCCAATGAGGCAGAAAATGTCATGACAGGGCAGGAAGTTTTTGAAAGGAAAATGTGAGCACCAACAACTGACTTTTCCCATGTCATTAATCCATTAAGCTATTCATCTATGTTTTTTGCTCATCCATTATACTAGAGAACCATTATTGACCATACTTCATGTTAGATATAGATGTAGGGACACGATGTGTGTAAGACTTAGTACATAAATGTAATGCATTTCCAGTTCAGAGGAGGAGACGTACTTGCTCGCAGGCAGTTGTTTGCATAGTTCTATGAGGAATGCTGCAAGATACGCCTGCAGCAGGTACACCAGACGGGCCAAAAAGCTGAGTGATAATCCCCTGGCTGTTATTAAGAAGGTATAAAATAGAAAAATAGGTGATATTTCAGTTGAACCTTCAAATAGGTATAGTTACTCATCAGAAAAATAATTTTGCACTGGGCTGATCTTGGCTGTAGTTTTATTAAACATTATATGATCAGAACAATGAAATTCACTTTAATTAACTTTCATGGGGAGTTTTTGTCTTCTTATTGTTCTGATACATTTGGAAATAAATCAGAATAATATAATCATAGAAGTGAAAGGTACTATATTGTTAAATCTAAAATATAACCACTAACATTATTGAGGAGCTTATTATGTGTTAAGCATGACATCAAATGTTCTACATACAAACATATTCTCATTAATCTGGTCCAAGACAATATGAAAGAGGCAACAGCAATTCCTATTTTATAGATGAGAAAATTAAAGCTCAGAAAGGCAAGCACCTTTCCCAAAGTTACATCTGATAGAAACTCATATCAGGGCTTTCTGGTTTTGAAATTTATGTTCCTAACAATTATGACATACTACGACATTTCCCTATTATCTGGGGCATCGTTACTCAGAGTACGAACCACTGAGCAGCAGTATCAGCATTGCCTAGGAATATGTTAGAACTGAAGAATCACAAGTTTCACCCCAGATCTTCTGAAAAAGAATCTGCATTTAACCCAAATCCTCAATTGTTCACATGTTTGTGAAATGTTGATTTAGTCTCCTCCCTATTACTATAAATGCAATGCAAATGATTGTTCGCCTCCTGCTTAGAGGGCAAAAAAACTCACTATTTTATGTGGCACTTTCACTTGCTAACTTGCTAAGGAAGCCTGTCCCCCTATAACACAGAAACAAGATGACTTTCTTGTAATGAGTGTCCTTTCCTTTTGGTACAATGGGACGTGCATTCCACCGCCCTTTCATGTGTCATCTCTTCACCTAGGTGGCCCCAGTGTGAATACATGGCAGCTCTTTTATTCTTCATGTTCATCTAATTATCTCAATTTATTTTACTTTAATGATGTCATGTCTATCCTCCATCTTTTTGGTTCCTCATTTATGGGCCAGCCGTAACTCAACATTGTCCCTCTCAAAAAATATCCTATGCAGTGAACCAACTAATGCAGATGTATTCTCCCTGAGGGCGAGTATAGTAAAAGATTCGCTTTCTGTGATCTGAATATAACACCAAACATCTACAGCATCTCATTAAGCCAGTGATCATCTCAAATGCTAGATGCTATTCCCAGACACCAAAACAAATCATCTCCATGTTCTCTCTACTTATGGCCGGATTTGGGGAAGTAGACCCTATGTATACCCCTTCACATTTTGCCAGGGTGTAGGGAATCACATATCTGAAACTCATTCTCTCTTGAAAACTCTTCAGTAATTTTCTTCTCTGAGAGCTTCAGACATTTGGACGCTCACTGAGTAATTATGAATTTTCATTGTGTGTTATTTAGGCAGTACTAGCAGGATTCATTTATCCTTTAAAAAATGTTTCCTGAGCATCTAGGCCTTAGGGAAGCAAACGTGAGTAAGTAAGAGTCCTTGCTTTATAAGAGGTCACAGACTGGAGAAAGAGAAACAGGTAAGTAAAACGATTATCACCATAAAAAGATTATGCACAGTTCTAAGGGGAATAAATGATGAATTGCCTTGGGGAGGAGCAGAGGACTTCATAGAGAGATGGAATTTGAGCAGTTGGACTGCTATAAGGATATAGCATAAGGATGATTTTGCTAGTTAAAGAAGACAGAGTCACTCCAGGTAGAGGACCAGGTTGTGAACAGGCAGAGAGAAAATAACATTATCATAGAATATTTAGAGAATGGTGACGAGTCCAGTAAATTGGATTCAGAAGAAGGGAGAGTAAAAGCTACAGACAAATTGTTGTTAAGTAATATTTTAAGAAGTCCTTGTACACTAAACCATGTATTGAGAATTTTATCCTTTACACACAGGGGAGTCACGCAAGATTCTTTTAAAATAAGGGATATTACGATCCCATTTGTGATTAGAAGTAAAACACAGCTGGTAAGTTGGACAATAGATTTTAAGGGGAGAGAAACTGAAGGTTGAAAAGACCTCACTGAAGGTTGGAACCATAGTCCATAAAACAGTTGTTGAAAGTACTATCTGATCAATGCTTGTAAAATGTATCATCCAGATATAAATGGCCAAAGCACATTAACAATAAGAAAAGCTTTGCCAGCACAGTTGTTTTACTCCTAAACAAAACAAATGCTTAAAGCTCCTGGAAATTATAATAGAATTAATTTCAACTCCCCATTGGTAGGGGAAAATCCTGAAGCACATTTTCTGCTGAGCATTTCACTGGATGAACGAACCAGAAAGTCTGAGTACATATTGTTAATGAAATGTATAAATATTCTACCCATTCAGAAGAAATCTGTACTGTAAATTCAAGGATGGAAGAAAACAGCTTTCAGAATAAACACTAAATAGGGGGAAAGTCAGATCATATTCAGAAAGAAATATAAACACATAAACCCCTGTGTATTCTAACCAAGCAATCACTTAACCAGCAGGGAGTGAAAGTTTATAAACCCAACAATCTCACTGGGGTTTTTGAGGATTCTAAATGCAATTCAAATTACTTTACAATTTTCAATATGTTTTTCCACCCAGTGTCTCATTTAATGCACATACCTCTGAAAGATTGCTGCTATTGTCCACATTTAACAGAAAGAGAAAAATTTAGGTTCTAAAAAGTTGAATAACTTATTTAATTTTCAAGTCTCTGTGTTACAACAAAGACTGAAACAAAGGTTTCCCTTAGGGTAGACCATAGAAATTGCCAATTCTTAGGTTAAAATATTTAAATATCAGTAACTTTGTATGGTTCAACCTAACCGATTCCAGGTACAGTGCTCTAAGATTGATAATCAACAACAAGTAATTTTATTCTGCTTCCATGGTTGCAAAGGCAAATTAATTCAAAATTTCAAATGAAATGTCAAGTAAAATGGTTCTAGATCTCAGTTCAACTGGACCAGAAAACTGGTTCATATTTGTCACTGAAATGCATGTTAAACTGAAAGAACAGATATTTACAAACCTTCCTTTCTCTTATTTTTCTAAGAGCCCCCATGAATATTTTCATTACTCATAGACTATCATCTCTACAATATTATAGTGTGAAGGATAATATGTTAAAGTCATATTCTATGTGATAACATATTTTACACATAACTATTTGTATATATGAATCACACATAACTATTCTATGTTTTGTTCCAGTTCAAAATATCCTTTTTATTAACATGTAGCATTTTATGAGCTATATTTTACCTCCATGTTTCAGGAAATTAAAAAAAAGAAGATGTTCAGTAATATAATTGTAAAGATGAGCCTGTGCCCTATGAATCATGATAGCTTATGCAAAAAAAGTGATATAAGATCCCTTGCTGGTAGGATCCAATCAAGAACTCTTTGAATCATATCCTTTTGCTTATAAGGTGAAGGCCACAGATTTTTAAGGACCTTAACTTTGTTTTTTGCTTCTAATTGAACGAATGTGTCTACGAGTACAAAGAGTTCTCATTATCTGAACTTCCATCTCAGCCCTTGAGGAAGCTTGCTCCCCTAGTGACCTTTAACTAGTTTGTTTCGTCTTTCTAGTGGCTGCATATGGTGACCAAAGCTATCCACATGGGTATACAGTCTTTGCAAAGAACTTAAGTAGACCCAACCCAGTATCCACTGGATATGTGCACTTACGGCATCAACCAGAGGTCAATCAGATGCAAAAGGCAAAACATCCCATCTTGAAACAACTCTGAACATCCAGAGGCAATATAGTTATGCTGAACTGAAATACAGCACCAATAATTAATAGGTTTTTCGGTTTCCAAAAATTTTGAGTAACAACGTTTCTTCCTCTTTCACATGGCATATGGTATCCTACATTGGTCTTATCCCCTCAGATTAAAATCTGCACCAGTTCTATAATCTGTTCCTTATATAATAAAATGTTAATTCCTTCAACAACCTGACATTTTCCTCTGACATCCCCATGTGATTTTAAATGTAGCAATCAGAAGTACCTTCTTTCCCACCTAAAATAATAACCAAACTATGTTGCTCTCTTACTTAAAAGCCAAAATTATTTTCAAGCCACTATCAGAATAAAGGATGAACTCTTGCCTCTCACATTTAGTGCTCATGATGTTATATTTGCCGATCTCTTCTCTGACTCACTGATAGCACCCCTTGACATTGCACCTCTGTAGAAAAGCCTTGTTTTCCTGACTCTCCTGGCCTTTCCACAGGCTGTGTTTTCCCCTTTTCTCATAGAGAAGCCCTACAAGACTCAACTTAGGCCACCTCTCTGAGTAAGTCTTTCTTTATTGACCTAGGGTCAGGTAGGGGCTGTTCCAATGTATTCTACCCTCTCCACTACTGCTACTTACCATACGGTAATACATTTGGAAGTTTCTTTCTTTGTCTTCCTCCCAAACATGCACGAATGGATTAGGACCTCTTTGAGGGTTGGCACTGTTCTCTTCATCTCATCTTCCTTTCTTTTTATATCATTCCTGATAGAACAAAGGCCCGAGTTAAGTAAACAACTTAAAACTAATACAACTTAGCAGTTGGGGAGTGACAAAGACTACATACATAGAGCAGACTTTAATGGGTTGTAAACACTTGGATCTTAAAATGGTTTTCCGATTGATTAACAATACCGGTCTACTGGGCAATTCACTCGCCAGGTTGGACGTGGGTAACTCTATTGCAAAAAAAATGTTTAAATCAGCCAAAAGGTGATTATTTTTAGGAGTTATTGCTCAGGGAGAGGATGTGTTATGGCTCAATGACTAGAGAGTTGTCATTCTCCATCTCTGAGCTCCCACACAGTCCTGGTCCTTACTACCACAAAAAGAAATGTAAAGTCATGCTTAAAACTGGAAGAAATAAAGCTGTATTGAGGATAAGCAAATTACATTCCGGTTTCTTCTCCTTTTTATTTTTACCTGACAATGTCAGGGTGATCTTAACTCCCAGGATTTTCAACAGTTTGAATGCACTTCTTGAATACCCAGCCAGCAAGATAAAAAGTGAGACTTCAGGTCAGGAGGAAAATGGTCTTTCTTTAAATAGGATTAGGATGGCTTCCAGTGAGATGATAATTTGATTATGGAACAACCAAGTCAGAGGGAGTGTGTTTAGATCAACTTTAAGAAATAGAGGAAACTAAAAGCTTCTTTATTGTGAGCCAAAGGATGAGAGCAGAAGCCATCGCTGAAAAGTGAAAATATTTATAAATAAGTGTATAGTAGCCCTGTGCAGAATCTCTGACTAATATTTTCTAGCCCCACTCCCCTACCCAAATGCTAATTCTTCCTGGAATTCAAATTCCTTCATAAACTGGTCCCTTCCTAACTCCAAATCGACTGGTGTGGGAGTGATTTAAAAATGTAAGAATACGCAGATTCCAAACCAAGAGATTCTATTTTAATTGGTCTCAAATGGGACTTGGGTACAGACATTTTTTAAAGCTCCTAGGTGATTCTAATGCCTTTCCAACATTGAGAGATTATGCCACACCCACAACTCAACTGTCTTTTGCTAGTACCATAAACAGCAGTTTTTAATTTAGCATTTAGTTGTGATAAAATTACCTTTATTAAACTGTTTGCTTGAATGTGAATGACACTTGTGTCTGTCAACTGATACTGGCTCCATACTAATTGTTGCTTTAAGTCACTAGGTAGCCTCAGGAATTAATAAATAATAATAATTATAGCCAATGTTTATTGAGGTACTGTTCTAAGCACTTTAAAAGTAATAATCCATTTAGTCCTTAAAATAAAGCTATGACTTAAATACTCTTATCATCTCATTTACATTTTACAGATAAGGAAACAGAGGCTCAGAAAATTTGGAATGATTGGCTTGAGACGACAGAGTTAATGTAAGAGGAGACTGTGTTCTGTGAAAACCAGCAATTTACCTTGATACTTGTTCAGAATGATTTTGATAAGCATTCAATACAGTAGGAGATGTAAGGGCAGGTCCAAGAATGTGGGCAGTGGTGCTAACACATCTGGTTTAAACTTGACCCTGTGGCTTACAGGCTGTGCGATCTTCCATGAAATATCTCAACTCTTTGAACTTCGGTTTTCTCATTTGTTTAAATGGGGATTTCAATGGTTTCAGCTTCATGGTGAGTTTACTAAGACCTGAAATAGCTAGATAACTTAATAATAGGGACTCACAGGGTTTAATGGCAGAAGAATTAAAACTTAGACATTTGGATTTATAGATTCGTTTTCATTTGAGCATAATATCTGTTATTTGAGAGCCTGGTTAGAAGTACCTCTAATACTCAGGTAAAAAAGGATATTTTCTAACTGTGTGAGATATGACCCAGTACAGAGAACACACCAATTATCTATAGGGGGTAAGCCTAAGTGCTTAAACTAGTTAATGAGTTAACTAAAAACTCAACGGGGATCCTCTTTTGTTAGTGCTTTTTTTTTTTTTTTTTTTTTTTTTGGAAAAGCACATAAAGCACATGGAGCCTGCCAGTGACCTATCAATCTTCAGAATCTGACATGAGAATCTGCAGGTTATGAGGCCAAGAATCCCACTAGAGTCAGACAGATGTTTCTTCCTGCTTTATACTGCATGCCACTACATAAGGAGGTGAAGCATTACCTGGACCACGAGGAGACCCCATTCTTGCTTCTATGCTTTCTGATTGACCCGCTTTTTGTACTATAAGCACTTGGTCTTCATTATGTTCTGGAAAGCAGTGAACCACAGATAGTACAAGGGGACTTATAAAGGGGACATATGGTTTGTGTGTAACCTCATCTATAGCTCCATTCACCTGCAGGGCATCTGCTCTGAAACTACAGTGTGTAGCCAAATAGAAATTTAATATAAAAGCCAAAACCAATTATCTTATTTTATTAAGCTTGGGACATTTCACTTTTGTCTGAATGAGATAATTTGGCATTCATTACTTCAGTGTGCTAGTAGAACTCGGTCTTATTGAAAATAAATTGAAATTCTATTTTGCTGTATTATACAAAACATGCTGCTCTTCACTGAGGCAATCTGCCATTGATTTTCTAACTATGTTTTCAATATATCCAATTCATGATCTGAAAATTCAGATAATATTTACCTTATGAAGAATTTACATGTCTACTGATAGCTAATATAATTATCTCTAATCATAGTGCAGGTACTATCATGTATGTTCCTTCAATTGTCACAGAAAATCCATGAGATAGCATAATCATCCTCATTTTCAGAGAAGTAATCTAAGCAGGGGAGGGAAAGAAAGTTGCCTAACTCATACAGCTAAAATTCTTTTAACCATTAGACTCCATTAGCTTTCACATAATGATCTTGCTATCAATATGAAACATAAACTCCTTCTTTATTGTTTGTATCTCAGATAGATAGAGTCAATAGAATTGATATGGATTCGTTAGGCTATCTGAGATGTTAAACAGTTTGGGGATGCTCAGAAGTGACTTGCACGAGCATGGTAACTGGACAGAACCAACTTCTTTAGAAATAATCATTAAGGAAATGATGAAGCCAGAATTCTAGTACCCCAGATCAGGACACTGCTATTTAGGCTTTGCTGGAAACATGCTTTACCATGATAGATTCGCTTAAACCCACAGAGTTTTCTTCCTATATCAAGTAGAGAAAATAATCCCTGTCATTCATATCCTCAGAAGTGTGAAAGACCAATTGAAATGTTTACCGTTTCTTCAAGGTATGTTCTGTGAGGCTCTGGAATTGCAGAAGGGGTTTAAGAACGCACAGTGCCTCGCCTGCGATCCCTCCGCTTCAACCAGTACAGTGATGCTTCTATTTCTTTAACATTTTGGTGAGTGAAGATGTGAATAAAAAAACCGTTCTAAAAATAATAAAAACTCCACGACAATTGAGATGGTGCATGTGAAAACATGCTTTATGGTGTACAATAAGTAATGGATTGTTTTTTCCTCCTTAGTATTAGCATAAAATGTGAGCCAGGTTTTCATTCGGAGAGGAGCATGCACGTCATAGAAAAAGCACTGATGGTGACATTGGAGAGGATGCTGCTTGTCTTCTATATTAGGGCTCTTGAGTGAAACAGAAACAATATATACCCTATATATTGTATCTTCATCATTATTATTATAAGAAATTGGCTTGTGTGATATGGAGGCTAAAAAGTCCCAAGATTTGTAAATTTGAGACATAAAATATGTGGATGTTTCAGTTCAAGTTAGAAGACAGGAAATATCTGGTGTACTCTGACAGGAGGGGTCCATTTTTTTAGAGGTGGGATCTTGCTATGTTGCCCAGGCTGGACTTGAACCCTTAGGCTCAACAAGTAATCCTCCTGCCTCACCTTCCCTAGTAGCTTAAACTAAAACACACTGGGATCAGGAGGGGCCTTCTTCCTTATGGGAGGGTGATATAGTTTGGATATTTGTCCTCTTCAAATCTCCTGTTGAATTTTGATCCCCAGCATTGGCGGTGGGGCCTAGTGGAAACCGTTTCATCACCTTCATGCATGACTTTGTGCTGAGTCTTCACTCTATTAGTTCCCATGATAAAAAGAGCCTGGCAACTTCTTCTTCTCTCCCTCTTTCTACCTCTCTTGCCATGTGGCATACCTTCCCCTTCTCCCTTTCCCCAGGTGCCATGATTGGAAGCTTCCTGAGGTCCCTTTCCAGAAGCAGATGCTTGTGCCATGCATCTTGCACACCCTGCAGAACTGTGAGCCAAATAATCCTCTTTTCCCTATAAATTACCCAGTCTCACATATTTCTTTACAGCAACACAGAATGGACTAAGATAGTCAACATTTTTTTTTTTCTATTCAGACCTTTAACAGATAGGATGAGCTTATATCCATTGGGGAAAGCAATCTGCTTTATTTAGTCTAACAATTCAAATGTTGATTTCATCCAGAAGGATCCTCACAGATACAACAGAATAATGTTTGACTAAATGTTGGGCACCCCATGGCTCAGTCAAGTTGACGCATAAAATTAACCATCACAGCTTTCTATTCTGCCACTTCCTGAGAGGAACTGGATAAATCACTTAAACTGTTTAATCAGCAACGCAATGAAGATAAGAAATCATATAATGTAGGGCATTTTGGAGAAATAATTGTGTCATTTTCTATGAAGCGTCTTTTAGCATATGAATTATATCTGTTTTTATTCTGCATCCTTTCAAATAAATGCTCCTTCATCTGTAAAGTGGGAATAATCTTTGCCACATCTACACATCATAAAAGATAATAAATGTGAAAGAATAAAGAATGACATAGGAAGACTTATACCCTGAGTAAGTCCATCTATAAAGAGAGTCTTGATTCTCTTGTTTCCCTATTCTGAGGACAATAGGCATGCCAGAAACATTCTGTAACACACATGTACACACATAAACACATACACAAAGATCCTCGTGGCAATAGGCATCACAGTTCAGGCTTCCCAAATACACAGTTCAGGCTTCCCAGATAATAATGCTTTTTTATCCATCCACCATTTTGTCAGACACGCAT